TTGCCTTGTCTGTAAAATGGAGATGATTATAATAACCTCGAGACCTACTTCACAGGTCGTCATGAGGAAGCACTTAAAAAAAATGTTTTTATTGCCATATAACTTACATATAGCAAAGCATAAAAATCTTAAGCGCCCAGCTCACTGAATTTTTATGTATGTATACACTTGAGTAACTACTAACCCAGATCAAGATACCAAGCATTACCAGCTCCCAAAAGGTTCCACAAAGAAGCACTTTTAAGACTAACTTTAGACATGGATATTATTGTCTCTAACTCAAGAAGTCAACACCCCAGCCAAGTATGTGGAGCTTCTTAACACTTGGAGACAAGAATTGACAAACCAAATTTACACATAAAGGATATTTACTCTTCACATCGTGGCTGGGGGCTCTGGGAATCTCTAGTCTGAAGGAGCATGGAGGGCCCTTGTCTACAAACCCTCCGGCACTGAGGAGTTGGGGGGCAATTGAAGATGAGACTGGAATTCGTTTTGAGACCATCTGTTCTGTTACTGTGAACTGCTGGGGCTTTATATCCTGGGGTGGCATGTTCCTTTCCAGGTTAGGGCGAGCCCACTGGAGAAAGGTCTGAGAACCTCTCCCGGGGGATGGGAATCTGAGTGGATGCCTGTAAGGCTGAGTTCTAAGCTTTGGGGTGCCTTATTTCAATGTCTGCCCTGAATCCAAGTCTGGTTTGGAGTGTAGAGGAAATTCCCCAGAGGGATGTTTGGCCAGGAGACAAATGAGGCACCCTATTTTCTGAAGAGTGATACCTCAGTGCCTGACCAATGAAACTGGTGCATGTTACAAACAACGCAAAAGAATTTACAGCAAAATGCGAATTCTCCACCCAACCCTCTGACCCCCAGTTCTCCCCAGAGGAAGCCACTGTTACTGATGACTTGTTTATCCTTCCAGCCCTTATGTACACATCCCCCTTTTTAAACCACACTGGTAGCCCTCACTATACACTCTGCCGTGGCCTTGGATTTCTTTCCTCAATAACTGCCCAAGACAATTCTCCACGCTGAGTGTATTGCTTCAGAAAGTTATGTTCAGGCCTGATGACTCAGCCCAGCTGAAATTCCAGCTAACCTTGTGTGGCCTGGCACTGGAGAAGGGGTTCTAGACCTGAACCTACCTCTAACAGGCTTGGCAACCTTCAAAACAGTCAGCTAACTTGGTTGCACCATCATTACCAGCAATCCTACACCCCACCTTGGGCGACCAGAACCATGCTGGGGGAAATAATCAAGGCACTGATCATGCCTTTGGAACTACAACCATTCTCTGGAGTCAAGGGAAATTGGAAGTGCCTCTTGGAATTTTTAAGTATTCTGTCTAGTAGCTATAAAAACTGTGGTCGGGTCATTAGCCCACCCTGGGTGTCTGCCCCCGATCCTATTTCCTGAGTCCTCTTTGGAGCTGGATGTGATGGCCCTCGTCCTGGCCCCCACCCAGGCCTGGGCAGAGGCGGGAAGGCACAGTGGGGGCCTCAGCCCCAGACCTTGGACCCCGCAGCGTCCGCCAGGAGACGTCGGAGGAAACGCATTTACCACCTGGGCGACCTTGACTGCAGTCGATTAAAGTTTAATCCGAGGTGTGTACTCAGTCTTGCCATGTTATTTAAACACATCAAAGGTCATAAAAAGATTCCAATGGCTTGAGCGGGTCCGACGCGGGCCGCAGGGAGCCAGCGTTTGATTCTGGTGGCTTTCCAGAGCCAGGATTTGGAGCGAGGGGCGGGGAGGGGCCATAAGAATGAGAGAAAAAGGTTTGCTTTCCCAGTGGAAAGCCAGACTTCAGAAAGCGGCAGGGGAAACCGAGTCTCGGCGCCGGGAGCAGACAGCGCCCTTCAATTCCGATTAACTGGGAAGACATCTAGTGGGAAGAGGTCGCAACTGCAGCGGCGCCGTGCGAGGATCCCGTGCCTCTGCCTACTGCGACCTTGACTGCAGCCGATTTGGACTGATGTGGGAGGGCCTAAAAAAGAAGACTCTCTTTCCCTGGCCGCCCGTTCGGAGCACGCGACTGTCTGGAAGATCCCAGGGACGGGACCGGGATCCCACTCAGGCGCTATTTCCACCTCGGAGAGGAAAGGTCCAGCTCTCGTTGGCTTTCCTCTCTCCAGGTTGGGGTCCTAGTCAGTCAACTGAGGGCACGCAGGGCTCAGGACCCCCGGGTTCCCGTCCAACTTTTGTGGGGCTCCTGGATCCAGAGTATGAAATCCTGGAGCGACCGTATGTGGGTTCTCCTCGAGGGTCTTGAGTGACTCTGGGGACCGACAGTTCGTCTCAGAATCCGCGTGAGGCCGGAGGCCCCAAGGCCATCCCACCCAGCTGTAGGTTTTGACCTCTCACCACCTGCGGGCTGTCGTCGGCCAGGAGCATTGCAGAACTGTAGGAGCCCAGCTTCCCAGGACGCGCAAGCGATATTTTCACTGCGTCTCTGTCATGGGGCCGTCAAACCTTGCCCTGTCTGCTTCCTCTTGCATAGACTGTCTAATTTCTATTGAGGACTGGGCATCTCTTTGGACCCTGCGGGAATGAGTGCCACGTATGGAGTTCTGTCTGCTGCCCCAGCACCTCTTCTTAACCTGAAAGGCAGATAGAAAGGCAGGTTCCTGCCAGCCTCCCCATCTGCCTCAGAGATACCAATTGCAGCTTCTCTATTGGCTGCTTTTACTTGTTTAAAGCGGAGTCTTCTTCTTCCGGCCCCACCGGCCACTTTGACTGGGTCTAAGTTCTCCCCTCTTGTTCCATTTATTGTGGCATTATATCATCTGAGGAGAGTCAGGGAGGAAGAGAAGCACCAGCATGCCGTCTGATAATACAGAAGGCCAAGAGATATATATTCACCACATTTCAGTGTGTGAACCCCAAGACTTCGTTGAGCCATAACTGGGTCCCCCAGCAGTCCGCTAACAGACTTTCCAGGCCCCCTGGAGTGGGAACCGCAGAGAACAGTGATGACTGCTGAGAGCTGCCCTCTGTACGTGGACCGCCGGGCTTACATCAGTCCAAGGCTGTCAGAAGTGGCCTCCTCCTTCCTCCTTTTGCCAATCAAATTGCTTTCTCCACATTTACCCATACTCTAGGGCTCGGGGCCTCCCAGATTCTCAAGGAACCTTGTTCTTTGGCTTTGTGTTATCCTTCCTGCCCACCCCCATTGAAAAAAAACCTGCAAATAACGGAAACGGTAGATGAGACCATTCTAGGCAAACGCCTTGAAACTCTTCACCAAGATGTTAGTCAACCAGGTCACACACTGAAGTGCATCCCCAAGGGAGTATAAGAGTTATAGCTCCTTCTGCCCTCCCCTCTTCATCACCTCTGAGCTTTTCCCTCAGGTAGGGAGACTCCTTTAGGTTTTATGAATCCAATACAGACCACTGGAGCACCAGTGGGTGGGGACTGGAAGGAAGGACTGCAGCTGGGTTAACCAGCTTTAATTTCAGGGAATGAAAAACTGAGTCTTGGATACTGGGGCAAAGCACCCTGGGATGCAAGGGCCTGGAGTAGTCCGGGTCCCATGCGAGCTCCAAGGGCTGATGTGTGTGCTTGGAGCAGAGCTGACCTCTCTGACCTCGCTGCACTGACACATGACCCAGAAAGCCCCCTCCCAGCTCACCTGGTTAAGCCAGAACTGGACCCGGTGACTGGATCCTGCAGCCCCAGCCAGCCCCTCTCTGCTCTGCTCCCAGCTCAGGCCCATGAGGACATCTATTCCTTGGGGTGACAAACGAGTCTACTTGCTCTCAGTGACATCAAATTACTTTGCACCAGCCAAGGGTCCCATGACCTGACATAACCTGACATTAGGTCCTAGAAATGTAAATAAATATGGCCTTTTTAAAAGTGGCTGAGAGCACATAATTGCTAGCAGGCTCGAGGGGTTGTCCCAAGTCTGGCTCATGACCTATGCTGAGGCAGCTGATACCAGCCAGAATTCCTGGCTTGGGCTCTCTGTGGGCAGAATTTCATACCTACATTTAATTCAGGACCCCAATCCATCTCTCAAAGCCCAGATTATTTTTGTGCAGTCTAAGAAATGATAGGGAGGCTTGCAGCCTGCGCGTCTCCCCACCAGCGGGGGCCCCCAGCCAGGCTTCTTCAGAGAACAGGCTTCCACAGAGAACTGGTGTCTGCAGAGCTTTAAAAACACAGTCCTGAATTGGACTGCTGTGGCTAGACTTTTTGTTAGGAATTGTGCTTTCCTCGCTTCTTAACTTTTGCCTTCCCATCTCTCCCTACCTCTTTGTCTCCCAGCTTTTCTGCACTTTTCTCTTCCTCTCTCCCTCTTCCTCCAAATCTTCTCACTTCTGCAGTCCCCACACTGACCCTGACCAGAACCCTAACCCCATGGTGAACTCCATTCTTGAGTTAGGAGACCAGGGACCCTTGAAAGAGCTGCTATGCCCACAGCCCCAGTAGGGATCGATCTTGCTGATGCCCCACAGGCTGCAGGGGAGGGACTCATGGCCAGCATCTCCAGGGGCTTCTGCTGGGCACAGTTGGAGTTGTTAGAGAGTTACATAAAATCTGTGCACATAATTCCTCCCTTGTTTAATTTACACATCCCTTTTGAGTTTTGCCAAATCATTCTTTCTGAACACATTGAACAGTTATATTATCAGCATAAAAGAATCCCAGAGTGAAAGCATCCCAGATATTTAACAACTCCTCAAAAAAAGGTAATTAAGGAACCACAAACAATCCAAATGCAAAATAACCCAACACAGAAAGGACAAACAATATCCACTCAGACAAGTGGGATTATAATTTAAGGAGCTGGCTGGTGTAGGACTCATCAAATTCAATGGTTTCTTATTTTTCATTTTTGCCTCTTAGCTGTCTAATGTCTCCAAGGTTTTTAGTTAAATCATCCTTCAGAGTTTGCTGGGAAGGGTTATGCTCATTGCCAATTAGACCGCTCAATTAAAACAAAACAAAACAAACCACAACACCTTTATTCTTTTTAAAAAATCTTTTACTGCTGAGATTTTTAAGAATACATGGAGTTGCATTTCTTCTTGAAAACTGTGGTTGCTGAAATGAGATACCAAACCAGTATAAACATTCCCTTCCTAGCTTAATCATTAGAAATCTCTTTTTGGTTTCTACCAAGGGAGGAGGTGTGTTGAAATGGGAAATAGTCACTCGTCCAATAATAAAGGAATATATGTCAATTTCAGACACAGAAAGAACCAAGGCATGGTTTTCCTCTTCCCATAAAATCCTGATGCAGTCGCAGAAATCTTCCATTAAAAGATGACACATTCGTGGAAAAGGGTAACATGAGTTCCCGCATACATATGTATTTTTTATAAAGAACAGACATATAAAATTTCGGGCAAGATGCACCCACACCCCAAATCCCTTTTTTGTCCAGATTTCTCTTGGGTGGACCCTCAAGTTCTTTTTAGATTGTAATCAGAACAATTCAAGTTCAAACACACTGACCCCTCACACTCAGACACAGGAAGGATTCCTTTTTATTGAGCCATTTTGCTCAACCTTGAAATTTATCCTCAAAATCCCATATTGGGAATGGAATGATGCAGCTTGGGCTTTACTTTCAAATATTCCAGGAAAAAAAAAGTGGAAGCGGATGATGAAACATGAAAGACAAAATGATAATAGCGGTTGAAACTAAGAGTTGAGTATACAAGGGCTTGTTATGCTTTTGTGTGTTTGGAAAATTCCATAATAAAAAGACTTTTTAAAATGATGTGTTTGGCAAAGGTGGAAAAGTTATTCCTGCCAGGGGGCTCAAATAAAAACGTAGTCCGTTGGGTAGCACCTGGAATTACCCATTTAATCTTCGTTTTCCAAGAACGGAAAACGACCTTGCTCCCTTTTCATTTCTCCGGAATCAGCCGGCCATCCCCATGCTTTCTTTCCGGCAAGCTCCCTTTCCCAACCCATAAACTGAGCATCCAAACCCGAGGTTGGGGGCTGATTAATGGAGCTTCCGTACTCAGCTCCCCTGACCAGAGTGTAAATACCCATAAAAACTAATATCAAAAGTTTTTATTGAACTGCTTCGTTTCCTTGAGGATTGGGCCGAGCGGGGCTGGAGCAGCGGGGCAAAGAAGCGGCGGCTGCGCCATGAGCGGCGTCGGTCCTGCTGATCGACTCAGCGCGGGTCCCCAGAGCCAGCCAGAGTTTCTGGGGAGAGCACCCCAACCAGGTAAATGCCAGTCCGGGGCTCGCCTTCCACTGGGGACAGGTGTATTTACAAAGCCACCGGGGAGGGAATAGTAAGTAGTCGGAAAAAAAATCAGAACGGGATAGGCAGACGCCAACCACCCCGAAGTATGTCACAAGGCTGGTCCAACAGGGTGAAACATTTTTCCTCAGGATTTGATATGATGCCTGTATTTCACCCACATGACGATAGACGTCTGCGTTCACTGTGTGTGTGTGTGTGCATCTGATGTGTGAATCTGTGTGTGCATATCAAGACATATATTGTTATGCTTACAGCACGTAACGTGCCGTAAATGTCTGATCACGCCTCTGCGTTCTCCGAGTTCCCCTTTCTCGTGGCTGCGCGGGTGAGTTTCCTTCCCTCAGTTGCTCTACTCATCAGAGTTCTCAACCCTGGTCAGGACGGGGGAGTCTGCAGGCTTCTGAGGAGAGACGGACCCACGCGGGCCCAGGCCGCTGGCCTCCTGGTTGCCTGCACCGGTTTTTCCGCGAGAATGCCGGGGCTCCAAGGGGGCCAGGCTGACGTCCAAACCCCCTATTTCCTTCAAACACTCGAATGTCTTCAGTGTATTTGTTGACATAATGAATCCACAGCCCCGCGCTGGTTTCCTGTTTTGTTGTGAGCGTGAGCATTAAGCTGGGATCGGGGCGGAGGCCGGCGGGTGGGACTCCTTTTGGGCAGTGGCAGGGACAGAGAGCAGCCGCGACACAGTTCTCTCTCCCTTTTCACGTCGCAACCGCCCGGAATTCCTCGGGCCGTCCTGCGCTCTCCCAGCGCCCTGGTCGGCCGGTTGACGGGGAGCTCACTCCCGGGGCGGCAGGGGCCCCCGCAGTGCAAAGGATGGGTACACCCGCGGGGCCGCTGAGGACTTCGAGAAGGCGTTTCCTCCTTCCGGCTGAGCGTTGCTCCGAGTTCCCTCTGCTTCGAACGTATGCCCCTGTCCTTTAAGCGAAGGCTGAGTTTCCAGGTTCAGTCAAGAGGAGAGCTGCGGCGGCGCCATCGGGGCAGGCGGCACTCCCCTCGCCATCATCAGCGCCACTGGCGGTATCACCCAGGCCTCCCAGAGCCCGAAGGCAGCCGGTCTCAGGCAGGAACGCGCCCCTCACTCCATGTTTGCGCCAACCCTAGGAAGTCTGGGGGCCGCGCCGCCTGGCACTGTGCAGGGGCCGGGGGCTGGGTGTTGCTCCTCCAGCGAGCCTAGGATTAGGGGCTGGTTGCTCAAAACGAGAGAGGGGGCGCCCCTCTCCTTGCTCACGGACTTTCTAGGGGAAACACTGCAGGCCAGTGCTGGAACCGGGGCCCTCCCTGGCCTTGCGTCGTCCTTTCTGAGAGGTAGTGCACTGCTGGCCTTGAAGGCCTGGTACTGAACGAACCCACCAGGCAACGGGAGAGCTGCTCCTTCAAAAATTTGTTCTCCTCAAAATCCACCAGCTTAGGGAATCTTAAAGGCAGACGGGGTTTTCCCAGGTCTTCCTGGACCTTGCATTTCCTCCCACTTTCATCATGTTAGCAGTTAGCCGCCACAGTGCCAAGTGACTTCCCACAGTCCAAAACTGTCCCTACAGCCTTGGGCTTTTTGCTGCCTCATTAATGCTTCAAATGCACACAAAGCTACAACAAAGGTTTGAGCAAGTGACTCAGGAGGTGCCATTTCTCTGCCTACTGGCCAGCTTCGGCCCAGGTTTCTTCAGAATCTACCCTTTTTCCTCAAGAAAAAGAGTACAGTGTCTGCCCTCGTGGGGACAGAGGTGGGGAAACTCGCAAAGTCCACCATGAACAGAGCAGCCCCTCACTTGTCTCTTTCCCAAACGGTCTGATCAACTGCAAATTCGAAGATGCTATTCTGTTCGGGTGTTTTTCTCTTTCTCTCTTTCCCTCTTAGTTAGCCTCAGCTTCTCAGCCATTTTTTTCCTCTCTGAATCTTTCTTCCTTTGCCATTATCTCTGCGCTCCCACCCCTCCTGTGGTGGGAGAGAGAGGGTTAAGATGTTCTGCAAATGCCGCTCGTAAAGCTGCTTGGATACATTAGAAACACATGAATATCCTGAAATACAAAGTGTTTTTAAAACCAACCGAGGAATGTTTATCCTAATGCTGGATGGATGCAGAGAAATAGTGACAGGGAGCAGTGCTGACAGCCTCCTCCGAGTTAAAGTGAGAGCAGGTAAATTTCATTTGCTAGTGAAAATCAAACTCGATTAAAACCTGCTTTCCCTTTGTCCTTTTCTCTTCCAATCCTGGGAGCCCAGGGCTCCATGGCACAGCCTGGCAATGAGTCCTCTGCCCAAAAATACCCCAGCCAAGGTACTTTTCTTCAGCGGGAGGTTCCAGGATAGCCAAAGCCCTGCAGGACACCCCAGACTGCCCTAGGAGGTAAGAAGCCATAGCGGCCAAGGGTATGGCAGCTCCTAGAATAAAGGCCAAGCCACTGCTGCCCTCCAATCTTGCCCACGCTGCCTGCTCAGGGCTCCCGGGGGCAATCAGGGAGTACCAGGCACAGCCCATCTCCACCACTGCTGCCTTCTTGCTCAGCGGGCCACTGCCACCCACAGATTCCAATGGGTACCCTGGCCTCCCCTGCGTAGACCACAAAGGGCCTGAGAATAAAACTACTGTTGCCAGGATCCAAGCTGATAGTGCCTCCCAGCAATCCCATAGGAATTCCTGAGCCTGGTAGACAAAACAGCAGAGGGATCACTCAGAGGGTCAGACCCAACTAGCTGGGCAGGCAAGTGAGTCCTGACCCTGCCATTGAGAAAGGAGAAAGAGCACTGGGAGAATCTGTGCTTGCTTCCCAGAGCACACTCCAGTTCTTCACTGCCCTCCAACCTTTCCTTTTCCCACAACAAGCTGGTTTGGTGGCTGCCTGGAGAGCAAAGAGGCTAAGAAAGGATATTGGGAACCATTAATGAATCTCTTATGTCCCTCGGCAATAGACAAGAAGGGGAGAGAGGAAGACTTTCTTGCTTCAAAGTGAGTAGAAATTTTAGAAACTGAGACCCAAAATTATTCACGGAGCTCATTCAAACTCTCTAAACCCATCCCCACTGGTTGGTGGCTACAACTCAATGTCTAACAAGACCTGAAGACTTTTAAAGACAGTAAAGGCTCGCCAGGACACCATTGACTTGCCTGGTAGAAAAATCATTTAATATTTATCAAGATCCAAGACAAGAAGGAAACAAGCAGGCTGCCTCCTTCTAAGTAATCATGTCTCGAGAGTTTTTAAAAGTTGATAGGGAGATATGGGGAACTAAGAAAACATGTGGCTAACTTGTTCACTAAAGATACACCACAAAGCTCAATAAATAATTCAGGCCTGAAGCCCTTCCTTGGCGGGGCCGCCAAGTTTAGGGAGCAAAGCCTAATTCGAGATGCAACCCAAAGCCTTCCCCCAGCACCGCCCCTTCCAGACAAACCTGCTTGTTGCTCCTCAGCAGACAAGATGAAATCTTGTCTCACCATTTTTGGTGAGGAGGCACCCTGTCGACTTTGGCAGTCTGTGGAGCTGGGGCCCTTCCTCTGCATGCAGGGCTCGGTCTCCGGTGAAGTGGGGAGCTGGAGGGAGGAATGTGGAGCTGGCCTTGGCCGCTGTGTGCACCAGCAGCTGCGCCATGGCCAGAGGTGAGCTGGCACAGGCGCCGGCTGGTGGGGGCTCCCCGAGCTGTGTTTTCGTTTTTCCGGGTCTGGCTGGAAAACAGAAAAGGCTCAAAGCCCGGGCCAAGAGCAGGGCGGAGGCAGAGAAGAAGAGTCTGTAAACACCGCCCCAAAAACTCCACGAAGGCAGCAAAAAATGCTGGGTAACCAAACGGAGCCAGAAACAGGAATTCCAAAGGAAAAAGGAGTCAAGAACGAGGGGAGGTGGGCGGTGGGCCTTTCGCAGCTGCCTGGGTCTCCAGGCTTGCATGGCAGTTCTCACGCTGGCTAGACTGCAACTTTCAACTTGACCTTGGCCTCCAGCCGCGTCTGACCCGTATGTAAAACAGGCTTCGAGTCCTCAGGAACTGGGGTCTCGAGCACTACCCTGTCTCTTTGTCACCGTGAGTTTTACAATGCCACTTGGAAGAAGGAAGGGGGGTGAACGGGCCGGAAAGGAACACAAAAATCAGATCTCTACAGAGGCTGGTTCCTTAGTCTGCAAATGGCCAGTCAGGGAGGAGGTAAACTGGGAGCAAATCAATATTTACCCGGATCTACTAAAAAGGCAGGAGGGAAAGGGCACACTGGGTATGCATATGATGGTGGTTGGGGGGGTCAAAGAAGGTTTTATTTGGCAACACTTACATTGGTCCGGGCAAACCCACGAACAGGACAGATAAAAACTGGAACCCAGCCTCATTGGTCCCGACCCTGCAGGAAGACCAGGAGCCTTAGAGAGTAGACGGCACAGGGGGTAGGGGCTGGGGATATTTGCAATGCGCTGAGCTTAGGGCTGAGTCTGCAAGCTGGGACCAGAGGGCAGGTCCAAGCCTGGATGCTCACTAGTCCACTTAGGGTAGAAGGGAGTCCAGAGCTCTCCCCAACCCTGATGTTTCTGTGGAGTGCACCCACTTTCACTTTGAGTGCCTGCTCCCCTTCTAGGCATCCGACCAGCTCACAGCCTCCACAACTAGAAATGCAAGCATGTGGCCCCAAAGTGACAGGACCCCCCTCACCAAAACATGGCGGCTGCTTGGCTCTTTCAGCACCAACAACCCACCGTGCTCTCAGGAAAGGGTCGCATTTCCCAGGCACAGAGGAAAGGCGTCTCAGGCTGGTTCTTGGAGGGAAGAGGACGGGGCACCCTCTGCAGGCTGGAGACAGGGCTCTTCCCAATCCTACTTGGGAAGAAGGCATGAAGTGGCCCCAAAGAGCTCCTTTCTCCTGTCCCAAAATGGAGTGAAATAGGGAGCGTCCGGGTGCCCAGAGAGTCAGCTCCTGCCCAGGTTCTATGAAGCCCCGTTAGGCCCCAGAAGGGGGGCTCAGAGTCCCAGCCGGCACCCAGCTGGGGCCTGTCCCTCTTAAACTCCTTCCAGGACAAACCAGACCAGCAGGAGATGTGGGAGCACCGGAGAACGATGTGCACAGATCCCTCTCTCCATCTCAAAGTCTAGAGGAGGAAGGGTTGTTACTGGGGCAGAGTGAGGAACAGTCTGTATAAGTAAGTGTGAGTGTATGATCAAGGTACACTTCAGTGTGTGTGTGCGTGTGTCAGCGTGGGTGTGGTGATGGGTCGTTCTGAGCCTACGGGCCTAAGTACGGTCTATGAAACACTGTGGACAGGGAAGGGGAGGGAGCTCCTAACTGCAGTCCAAGCTTTCTAGTGGAACGTCCTGGGATCCATGAACCAGGCGCATCAGCAAATGCCCCGCCACTGTTCCCCTGGAAAGAGCCAAATCGCGACGCTGTCGAACCCGAAAGAGCTAGTGTCCGTGCTGGGGTCTCTCTGCAGAAAGACGTGCAAATACCTGGAAAGAAAACATTGCCGGAGGCCCCAAGAAATACCCGGCCTGGACTACGCCTAGCTACTATCCCATCCCCAGCCCCTCGCAGATTTACCTGACCTGTGCCCACCGCCTCAGGTCGCAACCCAACAGCGCGCCCCAGTCCCCTCCCCGCCTTACGTTGCTCTGGGCCTCACTGGCATAGGAGAAGGGAAGGAGAGCTGCGAGGAGGCCGCCCTTCTCTCCATACCCCACCCGCCCGGTCCTCCGCCCCCACCCGCCCGGTCCCCCGCCTCTCCCCTGGGTGAATGGTGCGCGGCGGCGCGGCGGGCGCTGGCGCTGGGGACGGCGCGGGCGGCGGCGGGGACAGCGGGTGCACAGCGCGGAGCCCGGGTTGGAGCCGCCCGCTTTGCATACGCCGTGGGCGGAGCGGGGGGGCCGGGCCAATGGGCGGCCGCCTGGCGCGACCCCGCGGGGCGCGATCCGCCCCCCTCGCTCGGGCCCCGGCCCCGCGCCGCGCGCTCTTCACTTCTTGGGGGCTTTTTAAAACAGCGCCACTGGGGTCTTCTCCATGCGGCTCGGGCTATGACAGCCTCCGTGCTCCTCCACCCCCGCTGGATCGAGCCCACCGTCATGTTTCTCTACGACAACGGCGGCGGCCTGGTGGCCGACGAGCTCAACAAGAACATGGAAGGGGCGGCGGCGGCGGCGGCAGCGGCGGCGGCGGCCGCGGCGGCCGGGGCCGGGGGCGGGGGCTTCCCCCACCCTGCGGCCGCAGCCGCGGGGGGCAACTTCTCCGTGGCGGCGGCGGCCGCGGCGGCCGCGGCAGCCGCGGCCAACCAGTGCCGAAACCTGATGGCGCACCCGGCGCCCCTGGCGCCCGGCGCCGCCGCTGCCTACAGCAGCGCGCCCGGGGAGGCGCCCCCGTCGGCCGCCGCCGCCGCGGCCGCCGCCGCCGCCGCGGCTGCAGCGGCCGCGGCGGCGTCGTCCTCGGGAGGGCCCGGCCCGGCGGGCCCGGCGGGCGCCGAGGCCGCCAAGCAGTGCAGTCCCTGCTCGGCGGCGGCGCAGAGCTCGTCGGGGCCCGCGGCGCTGCCCTACGGCTATTTCGGCAGCGGCTACTACCCGTGCGCCCGCATGGGCCCGCACCCCAACGCTATCAAGTCGTGCGCGCAGCCTGCCTCGGCTGCCGCCGCCGCCGCCTTCGCGGACAAGTACATGGATACCGCCGGCCCCGCGGCCGAGGAGTTCAGCTCCCGCGCTAAGGAGTTCGCCTTCTACCACCAGGGCTACGCGCCCGGGCCTTACCACCACCATCAGCCCGTGCCTGGCTACCTGGATATGCCGGTGGTGCCCGGCCTCGGGGGCCCCGGCGAGTCGCGCCACGAGCCCCTGGGTCTTCCCATGGAAAGCTACCAGCCCTGGGCGCTGCCCAACGGCTGGAACGGCCAAATGTACTGCCCCAAAGAGCAGGCGCAGCCTCCCCACCTCTGGAAGTCCACTCTGCCCGGTAAATGTCGCCCCCTTCTCAGCCTCAATCCTCTGGCTCTGCTCCAGCTTCTCCTCCCCTCGCTCCTGGGTCACTCTGGTGCCCCTCTGCTCTCTTCCTGGCCTGCCCAAGCGACACTGCACCCCTGGGAGCCCGAACCCCGCTGGCTGGCACTGCCGTCACTGTCCTTGAGTTAGGCTGGCTCCTGGCTGTCCCTGGGTGAGGGATAACTGGGAAGAATCTTGTGGGGACCCTGGCTGGCTTCCTTCTCCCTCTGCGCCCCGCCCTCGCTAGCCCTTGACATCGACTTAAGGATGGGAAATTGACCTGGAAACGGTTTAGCAAATTGCCCATATTCTTTCTCTCAAAAATGGCTTCACTGTAGAAGCATCAAGTGTTGAGGCTTGGGGTATACGGAAAGGAGCCGGGCATTGAAGTGTTGTCCCTTGAGCTAGGCGCTAAGGTGAGCCACTGGGCCAAGCGATCAAGCATCGAACCCGGAGCGCTGTGCGGGCAGGACGGCCCGGCTGGGGTGGTCATTGGAGCCCTGGGCGATTTCATTTCAGTGAAGAGCTCACCACCCGCCCCACTGACCGTCCAGGTTTGGGCAGAAGGCCGGATTGTACCGCACGCTGCAAAGGGCAGCCGGGCGCTCCAAGGCGGGCGGCTCAGATCGCGCCTGGGTCTGATCTGTGTGTAACTTGCTTTCTTCCCTATCTTCCAGACGTGGTCTCTCATCCCTCAGACGCCAGCTCCTACAGGCGAGGAAGAAAGAAGCGCGTCCCTTACACCAAGGTGCAATTAAAAGAACTCGAACGGGAATACGCTACAAACAAATTCATTACCAAGGACAAACGGAGGCGGATATCAGCAACGACGAACCTCTCCGAGAGGCAGGTTACAATCTGGTTCCAGAACAGGAGGGTCAAAGAGAAAAAAGTCATCAACAAACTGAAGACCACTAGTTAATGGATTAAAAGTAGAGCAAGAGGGCAACTTGAAGAAATGCTTCAGGACTCATTGCTGTGCCAGATAATGGTTATAATACTTAATAATAATTGAAGAATGGGAAAGAGCAAGAGAGAGACTGGCATTTTACTTTTCTAAAGGGGATCTCTTTCTCCTTGGTGGAATCTACAACTTTTTTAAAACTTTACTCTAAGAAATGGTAAAGACTGCCAGTTCTCCCGCCAACCCCACCAGACCGTTAAATGACAAACTCTAGAGTCAAACGTCAACCCCCAAATACACAATTTCAGATAAGTTACGCATTTACTGAAATCTTGTAAGTATTTATGTGACCATTGTATTCTAGGACACTGTGGTATATGGTAGTAATCCGAAAGTTGGTTACAAAAGCAAGAGGCTGTTGAAAACATCTGCTTGTCCTTGGGTCGCTATCGCCATCCCCCTTTGCATGTTAAGTGACTGCTCAGGTAAATCTTGGTGAAATTCCTGCCGTTGTTGTATATTCTGCAAAACATGTCATGTATAGATTTAGAGGGGAAAAGAGAAGAAGGTACTGAAATGATGATCTTGGACTATTTACTAGGAAGGGAGAGAAGGAGAGAAAGCTCTTCCGATGATCATTTGTCTTGGTAGTTAACACAACCAGCTGAGCTTTTGAGCTACAAGGGAACCCCAGGTTGGGACTGTCCTTCCGATAATAATTTCTAATTGCTTACAACAAGCATATTTTGTAGCATTTGGACAATATTTTCTGCTTCAATATCATTTGCTTTCCAAAGGATTTGATATCTTTTTGAAAAATATTTAACACATCAGATGATTCGCAGAATTCACTTTATGTCAGATCTCCTAAGACGTCCCACACCAATATGGTGTATTTGGTTTGAACACAATTAATTTTTCACTTAAATTGGTATTTCCCAATATTTACTAGACATTTTGCTGAGGAAATAATTTTCCTTTTTTATTTTTTAGAAAGCTCAGAACAGAAATCCATTCCCCCAAACATCTAGATGTTTACAGTCTATATTTCGATCTATTAAGGGGTTAGTATTTTTCCTTGTTTCTTGTGTTATGAGACCACATTAGAAAGTTTAGGGATTCATCTTCACAGCACATTTTTAATCAAGCAGTTATTTCAACCAGCACATTCATTTTGTTCATATTCACTATAAAATGCTATCTTGTAAATAAAGACATTCAGCACACTGTGAAAATGTATTTGTGCACCTGCTTTTCAAGTATTTCTACTAAAAATAATCATTAAAAAAAAGCTTTAGACCTGTAGATAGTGATATAGTGGTATTCTGTTAATAAAATAGTCACTGCCATTAAAATATGAAGAAAATACTCATTATTTTCCTGTGATAAATGTGCACTGCACAGAAAGAAAAGGAGCAGATTTGTCCTATACAAACCAAGGACCATTCTTTTCTATTATTATTCAGCTTTTTTTTTCCTACAAATTTTCTAAAGAAAGGGAGAAATCCCTCAAAACTAAACTCCTAAAAATTTAGATAAGTGTTCACGAAGGTTAAAGTGTCAGATATTCTGAAAGGGAGAAAAAAGAGAGGAGGAAGAGATAATATAAATTCCCAGGATCCCTGTGGAAAATGAAAACCAGTTGTTTAGTATCAGCGATGCCCAGGCTGCCATATTTTAAAATCTGCTGTTGGGTCTGCATGTGTCTGAGAGGGCAGGTTTTGATATTTGTTGAAATGACAGGACTAGGAAGGCCTTAAACCTTGACCTTGACGAAAAAAGACAATTTGTGACCTTGACTTTTGACAGCTCATGAATTGGCCTCGGCTGGATTAGTAGATCAAGGGCGCCACCTGGCGTTGACAAGCTTCCTTGTAATTCTTCAGCTTCAAGGGAATCAAAAGGTCTTACCTCTTTGACTCCTTGCTTTAGAGATTTAGTACTCATTTCTTTGGCTCCAGATGGAGCGAATTTGAATATACGTAAGTTATACATGTGCCTGTATATATGTGAATATATATCATATATGTGTATACATTTGCATAGCAGTGCTTGTTTGTCCTTGTATATATATATGTAGAATCTGTACAGATATAGTATCATTAATTACTGATGGCCTGAGATGTTGTAATTTAAGGTGATTTCTAGAGTTGAGGTACAAAATGTGCTTTACATGATGAAATTTTGCTCCTTTTCTTTAATTGCCAAATTTGATTTGTCTTCACAGTGGCTTGCTCTGCATCAGATTTCTGCAGATCTGCTTTAAAGCTATACATTTCTGTTACAGTCTAAGAGGAGTTCTTAAATAACCATTCTTTCCTGGCCCTCACCCTCCCAGGTGGTCTCCCATCCTAATTAGAGCTATAGGGGAGTCTATACGGCAAATTAAAAGTTTCAGATGCCTTGCTAACTCTAGAGTTCTAGAGTTACATTTCAGAAATTCAAAGAAACTCACCTCTTAAGAGGTCAGTATGGAGAACTTAAAGATCTCATATCTACAAAATAACCATAATATCGATGCAGAAGGAGAGTTATCCTGGATAGCTCAGAGCTGGGTGCAGCTCCAGGGTTGTGCAATCTAATATTGGTGCTTGGGAAGCTGCCATTGATTTGTGGAAGAAATATATACATTTAATAGTAACAATGACCATCAAAACTATGAAAATAATAAGTACTATATCTACTACTTATTGCTCCCTAACAATACATCAGGTGCTGCGTTTAGAGTCCTAAGTAATACGTATGTATGTTTACATATTTAATATACATGTAGAGTAGGGTAATGTGTTT